TTAAATATTGTAGATAGTACAATTGGCTTCATCAATCATTCAAGTATGCATTCAAAGACATTTAAAAGTTGCTTGCCTTATCTGGGAATCGAACCGACCAAATGTTAAAAGAAACGCACTGTATTTTTATGAGGCTGTCGAATGGGTCAACTGTAAGAATTAATTCCTTTAAATAACTTAGTATCATAAATTAAAGAAACACCATGAACTTTTACATTTAAGTCTAAGAAAATTAATTACATAATCATAACAAACTAGTGGGGTTATTTCACAAAAAATCTCAATAAACATTTGATCAAAAAAGCGACATCAACGTCAGCTTGAGGTAATTGTAAAGTTACCGGCTGCGGCGAGAAGGTTTCTAAAGTCTCTTACTAGATGTCACTTATGGCACGAAAGCCAATACAAAGACCTATAACAAAACCACATAGGAGAATTTCGTCAACTCAATAACTTTACTTCTAGCTCAGTTGATACAGAGCAGTGCTACGGTGCGTGGACATGGATTCAGGTCCCATCGGGTCATTTCTTCGACCTTTCTTTGTATTCGATCTTTGGATTAATAATCATATCAAAGGAGTGGACTATTTCACAAAAAATCTCAACAATTATCAACTATTGTTGGAATATTTAATCAGCTGTTTCTGAACTTACTACTAATGTTATTGGAGTATATAAAAGTCCTTAAACAAACGCAAGCCGTGCATTTTCGCGCAGAAAGTTCTTTTCAAAGTTCTTTTTCCATAGTCAATAAATATTCATAAAAAAATAACTCAATAATTTTCTTCTTTGAACAGATCCACGTCAAGAATAACAGTGAAAATTATGACAATAATGAAAATGGTCATGAAAATGGCGATGAAACTGAAATGAAACAAGTTTCAGTCGAATTGATACTTAAAGACACTTTTTATGAAAGAATAAATGAAGTATATTATTCTACTATATTGCACAAAACAGTAATGTAAGTATTACAGTATAATCTACTAACAAGTAGCCCTATTGCTAAGTAACGATTTCTTCCAGGCAATATCAGGTTACAAAAAAAGAGAAGAGAAAAAAAAGTTCAACCAAAGAATATCTGCTAATGGAAGTGTTTTAAACAAATACACTACACATTGAATAATAATCATGTATAGATAGTAGTAGAGCTCCTCGTGAAAGAGTTCCTCCAGGGAAGCATTGCCACCTAATCTATTTGTGACGCCAAGCCAATTTCTGGCTCTGCAACTACAATGGACTGGCTTACTACCAGGCGCACGACTTTTTTCGTTCACTTGGTATCATAAAATAACTTACATGAAGATAATAATAAATAAATAAATTTTATAACACTATGCAGCAGTGAATAAATGAAGGGATTATAGAGCTTTATACCACGTTATTTAACCACTTATTTCCAAAACCAGTAGATATACTTTTTGTTAGCTCTTTAAATGTAAATATTATTAAAGATTGATAGTCTTTTGATTAGTCTGTATGAATAAAATGATTAAGATGAATGGCAAAATAATAAATATT